GTTTGGGATATGGCTCCAACTGGATTTTTTGTACGTCAGGATAAGATCTACGTGTGTGCCGATTTTTATGCATATTGGTGAAAGGGGCCCTGGTTGGTACAGATAATAGGCCCCTGAGGGCCCTACGACTGATGTGTGCGCCAGGTTTCATGAGTTTTGGTGCGTTGTTGCAGCCCTCAAAAATGCGGCACTAAAATAATAACCCTTACAGATACAAGAGGGCCTTTGCATGGTCAGTGCTCAGGCCCTAATTATCTTTCTGTGCTCTGACTGAACCCAGTAGATTCTTGCAAAAGCCATTAAGAGCACTAGGAGGAGCCAGAGGAAGCTGATTTTGTACTTCTGTATGGATATAGTGAAAGGTTTCAGCAAATATGACAAAAGCTAGTATTGCAAGCTGACCAATAACAATGTGTGTGTGTGTGTGCGTGCATGTATGCGTGTGTGTTGGGGGGAGATGTGCTGCTATTGACATAGTCCACATGTTGCCTGGTCAATAACAGAGTTTCCAATAAGTGACTGACACTGCCGTGATAAATGAGAGTGCTGGAGTGTGTGTGTGTGTGTGTGTGTACACCTTTGTGTCTCTCCATGCATATGAGTATAGAAAGGCTTTTAGTCCTGTATTTTCTATTCACACAGGCAACAATAATATATTTTGGACACTAAAATTAATTCTTGTCTCTGCAGAGTTGATCATGCAAATCAATTTATTTAGTATGAATATCTTCTACAGTTTTCAGCCATATGTAACTTTTACATTGAGAAACATTTTTAACTCATGTTTATTTTCATGCCCCAATGTATTTTGTCACTCAGAGTAAACTTGAAGGCAAAACATTGAATCAGTCCGGTGTTTCGTGTTCCCAGCATTATTTTTGATTCACTGATGCTGTGCAATGTGTTCAATCAGCTGTGGATCTTCATCAGGCGCAAAACATTGCTGCAACCATGACGTGTTTGACATATCCTTAAATAATGACAATAAGTAACACGTGTCCAGTCACAAGACCCCTGGTTAAGACAAGGTCCACACTCAAAGCCTTAGCACTCAATTCTGATTTATTGCTCAGATCAGATTATTTTGGTTTGGTTGTTCAAATAATTTTTTTAATGTGTCTCATATCAGATTCCAGTGTGAACAGGTCCTGGTCCTGAAGTTACCTGTATGATGATGTAAAGGTAGATTCACGGTGAGGTCAAATTGCAAAGATTCAGACCTGAATCTGTTTTGGACCACATATGAAAGTGTAACCGGATTCCACATGGTTTGTGCCATTCACACAAAAAATCTGATCTGAGTCACATATGAGCATAAAAGATCAGATATTAGCTACAGTTGACAACAACTGGGAAGCAACCCATTATAATACAGTTAGACAAAGCCAAGGCTGTTTTACTATATCAAACTTTATTTGGAAATATGCAAAATATTATTGAGTAAACCTGCTATAACTGATTTTTTGGCCACCTTTTTTTTAGCAGAAGCAGTTAACACAGCATTGACACCTTTTAAATTGATATGGTTAACTTGTTGGTAAACAGTTGCTTACTTCCACCTCCAGCAGTTACTAAGCAAAATGATAATTCATTTGGAGTCAAGTTTGTGTCCCCCTAATGAATGTAAGTTCAATATTCACTCGGTTTTTGGTCTCTACCAACTACTGAGGAAAATATCTGGCTTTTAGCTGCTAAATGTTTTACTATGTGCACCAGCTAGTCTCTAGTCGTGTCTGTCTGTTCAAACAGTGGGTTTTTAGAGCTGCCTGCTGTAACTGAAAAAGACTCTGTGGCCCCTTTTTCCACCAAATTAGCTCTGGACCTTGAAGCGGTCCCGTTCAAGAGTCTTGGAACCTTGGTGCTATCTAGTGAACCAGTCCACGTTTCCACCAGTTTTAAGTGGAACCAGTGTAATCAAGGATTCGTCATTAACAAAGGGTAATACACAGCTGCCTGTAGAATATGTCCCCTGAACCAATTTATTTTTAGTAACAGTTTAAAACTAGGTTTGCGAACCAGAATGGAGCCAGTTCCCTGTTGGTGGAAAAGGGACCATATCAACCTTTTCCACCGAATTAGTTCTGGTTGTTGAACCGGTTGTGTTCAAGATTTTTGGAACCATGGGGCTATCGAGCAAACCAGTCCACATTTCCACTAGTTTTGAGCAGAACCATTGTAATTGGATGCAGTATCAACAGAGGGCGTTGCGCAATGCAAAATGACCGGTAGACACAGCTACTTTGGTTCCCAAGAAAACTACTTTTTGGTTCCAGTTGAGAACCAATTTTCCAGGTGCATGGACCAATTTATTTTTGGTCAAAATGCTCCAAATGGTTCAAAACTAGGTGCACGAACCAGAACAGAGGCAGATCCCCTCAAAACTGGTGGAAACACGGGTTGGTTTCCTAGATAGCGCCAAGGTTCCAAGAAACTTGAACGGAACTGAGTCAAGAACCTAGCTAATTTGGTAGGTTACTTTGGGTTGGCCACACAGCTGAACAATGAGCTGACACTTACTATACAACTCTGTAAAGCTGAGGGAAGCTGCAGATTCAGCTCACTGTGAGCACTGTCACACTGTTGTTTGATACATTGTTACATTACATGCAACATACTATGGATTATAGCCACTTTTAGTTGGATTCTGCTTTTTTGCCTGATCCTGATCCTTTCTTGTAGTCGATCCCTAAAAACTTGTATTATTTCATCTGATTTTGGGAATACATGGCAAATATAACTATATTAATTAATAATTATAATTGTAATTGTGTGCTAATCAATAATCGTGATTAGCACACAACAAACCAGGAGCTAGGTAGTTTGCATTGTTCCCTGGGGGGTAGAAAGGTATAATAATATAATATCTGAGTGTAGAAAGGTTTGGGTTGGTTGTGACACTTGGTTTTTGGGCTCATTTGTACAAATAATATTCTGACATTCTCATATGTTGTGTTTCCCCCTTACAGGCCACTCAATTTATCACGTAAACCACATTTTTGTGTTTCAAGCGGCCGTCCTATTCATCATAAAGTGTTCTCCAGAATGAATTTTGAAGAGAACTTGCATCGACATTTGCCATGTGGGAAAGATGACAAGAAACAGGTCATTCTGCAGAGCAGTCAGCTCTTACAATATCATCCCAGATATGAGGAGGGGGCTTGTGCACAAAGTGTGGAGGCTCTAGGGAAATCTAATTCAAGTTTTTCAACTTCTAATCTGAATTTAGAATGTGTTTTTGTTTTTTCTCCACTTTTTCTCCATTTTTCTTTTCTTATTGGATTTTTTCAGATTCTTTTATAAAATGAGGAATACAACATACTCTCATGTCTTTCTTACACACTCAACTCACTTCCCACAAACATAATGCGTACATCTATAAACATTCTCTGCTGGAGAAAAGATAAATGTATTTTTTGTCCAAGAGTTTTTCAGTGTTGGCAGCGCATGCTGAGCCAGCTTTTTGGCAGTGTGTGTGTATGTGTGTGTGTAGTGTGTGTGTAGTGCGTGAGGTGACATTCTCCAGGACTGCTTTCTAAAAAGGTTGAAGAGGAATGTAAAGGAGAATTTCATCATCCACTCAAAAATATCTGCACCAAGCTGCTGGAAACGTCCTGGAATTCCTCTCACACATACAAACACACACTCACGCTTTTACCCTGGGGAGGGAAGTGGTCAGCAGAGCTGATAAAGATAAAGTTTAGAAAAATATACCACTCTGCACAGCAGTTGCAGTCTTTTTGTTTCTTCTTCTCAGTATTTTACACACCCACACAAAAAAAGCTATCCACATATATTTGAGTGCTTTTGGTCTGGATCTGTTATTGGGCTCCTTAGTTCCAGTAGAGAAATCTTAATGCTCCAGCATACAATGTTTCATGACAATCCCCCTGTGCACAAAGCCAGCTCCATAAAGAAATGCTTCTCCCAGTTTGCTGTGGAAAAACTTGACTGGCCTGCACAGAGTCCTGACCCCAACACCTTCAGGATGAACTGGAGCCACAACTCATCACCCAGCATCAGTGCTGGACCTCACTAATGCTCTGGTATCTGCATAGGAGCCAATCCCTGTAAGAATCAACACATATGGCCACATGGCCATTTAGTGTACAGTATATCCACATACAGTCACCCGGGAATCCAGATCAGTGCATTGGCTCTAGCTGAGCGTGAAAGTAGACTACGAAACAGTAGACTGAAAATAACCTATCTCAAGGTCCACTTACTAGCTCTTTT